AATATGCACTATATTTGCAAAGTAAGACATCTCTGTTCGTGCAAAATATTTATGTTTACATACACGTTTAAACAGCTGATTTTTAAGGTCATGATCACGTATCATATGTAATTAAAACTATGAACACATTCATATTTCAAGACTAACCACATATTTATTCGCTACGAACGAAAAAGCAAATCTTTATATTTTTTATAGAAAACCTTTTCCAACCGATGATATGTCTTTAAGCTCTTTTTTGTCATAAAAAACACGATCTCGACATTTCGGTAACGGTCGGTCATGCTGAGTGTGTCCGACATGCGCAGTGGACGTTTCCTTACTCTTCTTCTTGTTATCAGGTTGGAGTCGTAGTATTATTAAAGTTAAAGTTGACTGAACGCGGTACGAAGCATAATTAATTGAGTACACACTGTTAACGAGAACACAGAAAATTCTCCTACGGCGGTGTTTCAAATCAATGAAATTAATGTGGTGTATTTTCTATTCTGTGTAACTGCATGCTGTAAGAGAAGACATATTCTATATTTTAAACGTGCATTAACGGCAATAAAGATTCGATACTATGTCTTCGTGAAAAAGGGCGGGTGTTCAATACGTGATGCCCCTTATATTAAAGTTGAACCCCAATTTGAAGGGAACACAATCTGCCATAGTAGTTAATGATCTTTTTTGCGGCATTTGTCACGACTCGCTCCCCAATACTGGCGGGTCTCGCCCAGTATCTATTGATAAAAACATGCTTCTCAGTTAAGTTTAATTGAACACCGTTTTATGTGTTACAATGTCTTTGTTGTGAACTGGCCGGTTTGAACTTAGTGAAAGGGAATTCACTTCTCTCACTGTAAAGACTGGTTTATTGGTGATTTTCTCATTTATGTCCAATTCTTGGGTCAATAGGTTGTCGGTGACGCGGGAGTTCAACACGTGCTTCTATATAACACCAAGATCTTGGTAACAGTTTCGTCAATTTCCGGTAATGTGGGCACGTTCTGACGTTATGGTTATATTTTAATTTCAGACACTGCTCTCATGTCTAGGCCCTTTCTTTGCAAGTTTTCACTTTTATTTTTGGCAGTTATTAATTATGTTAAGATTTTACTGAACATTTTGTAATATAATATAATACCCAAAAGTCCACCGTGAGATCCCGCGTTATTTGTGAGATTGGAAGTAAAAACATTACAAACGTCATATTCATAGCGTAGTAATGACAACACTTCGCGTGGAATTCGACACGAAAGCATTTCGAGGTATTTTCACGCATATACACATTTGATGATCATGGTCAATTTTCCTGAACTAAGTATATCGCAATGTCATATTCTCCACTGCAGCCTCGGCATTGCGATATTAAACTATAAAAAGGGAGAATTCAAGTTCAAAATCAAATCATTCGATTTTTGCAGCAGACATTCGGTCCGCGCCTTTACGCATTGTGCGAGATCTCGCAGTGAATGGAACACATATGGCAAACGTGTGTGCAGCATGTTGTATTTGTACAACAGGGTTGTCAACTAATTTTAATTTAAAACTGTGGGTGACACGAATTATGATGGAACATTTTCTAAGATCTGTGGTTTTACTGAGTTTTTTGCGCCAACACTCTTACTCTGGATACAAAGTTGGTGAAATTATGGGCCAAATCATCAAATAATATCTGCGTGCAGGTGCGAATGTTGTATTCCGCCCAAATATGAGTTTGTAACGATTATACTTTTACCTAGTAGTAGAATACGATTAGACATTGCAGATCAGGGTAGTTTATGACGAGAGCGAAGATGTGCAACAAGATACGGGTAGTGACGGCCAATCTGTTGTTACTGTAGTCTAGACATTTGACTGAAATTCGTTACTCATATGCACGAAATACCCAATGCGATAACGACGTCTTTGCAAATAATCCTATCCAGATCATTCTATGCCCCTAGTTGCTATGCATTGCGTATCGCGTATTGATATTATGTCAAGATTTACCGAGGAAAGGCGTATAACTTGAGTGACGGTGGTACCTAACTCGGAACTTGTTTCCGTGGAAAAAACAATGAATTTTTAAGCCCAACTGACAATTTTAAATTGAACAGCAGGTAAAAATTCAACTAAATGAGTTTTTAAACAATCTTTTGTCTTCTCACTTTCAGGGAAATTTATATTCGGTGTTTTCATCTGCAGATGTCGCTCGCCAGACGTAATCAATTATTGTGGTCAAGCTTAAAGCGGGGGTATTGTCACCTGCGCATGCAGCAAACGGACATAGCGTGTTGATGTTTACAAACAAACGTCTACACATGAGCCTTAGCGTTTTCAGCGTGTGTTGTTATCGTCGCTTGGGACTCAATTCCCGCGCATGCGTAGGTGACGACCCCTCCGCATTTCATACAATCTATTTCTATGAATAAACTGGGAAATAACGTTTTGACGGATACGTGACCATCACACATGATGTGTGTACAATGCTCGTCAGGATAAATGGATACATATTTTCTGTGCCTCAAATGTCGGTCAGTGTCCCTCTAAAACTGTGTTTTAGTTCCATGGTGTCCCGGGTCAGTGAGTTAACCTGATTTGTCACCTATACCTCACCATGTCTATCGTTGTCATGGTTCTAAACACGTTACAATGTTTACTATTTGTATTTTCATTGCATGTGTTACATACTTCACGACCATTGAGTAGCAGATCCGTTGTTTAATAACTAACTAAAGACATCGTAAATTCGTGGACGTTTACCCAATGTATTAGTGTCGGAAAACATAGCCATTCTCGTCATTTAAAAAGAGCTAAAAATCGTCGCTACGGTAAAAGAAACACGCCTGTCCGCTGTCGTCGGCCATATCGTAAAGTATATTGTGCACGCGAGCCCCTTATTTTTCTGTTGGGTTTAGGTTATTAGAACTGTTGTCAAGTACCGTATTCATTATTTGCTGGTTTTTAATTTCGCTATTTTCGCCGATATGTATAATCCGCTAAATTAAATAAACTTCAAGGTGTAAAATAACAATAAAATTTATTGTTTCTATACCAAGTTTAAAACCCAGTGAAAAAGATCAAACTAGTGAAATTTAAACTCCAGTTTTATAATAAATATTACACTACCGAACCATCAGCGGATTCAGTATGGTAAATAAACAAGTAATCACCATGTAGTGTGATTATGAGAATCACATGGTTGCTTTGTTTCCTCCTATTAACATGTAATTCTAGTTGAAAGGACGTCTCATATATTTCAGATGTACCAAATAATTATACATGGTCGGTATCATAGTGACGTCAGGTGGACTCCACCACTATATATACAGGACAGCAACAGAGTAAGATCTCCCATGTACTATGTAGATTTACTAAAGTTACGTGAAAGGCCACACACGTATAACAAGTATTTTAGCATTTACCTGGAACAAATCAGGCGACTCCATCGTTCGCAATTACGTAATTGTCAATTATTATACTCCAGGATATGTGCCCGATGGGAAGCGTTTTTTACTGGAGTTCCGGGAAACCCGATCTGGACCGGGACCTACATACCCATACCCATACCCATAAGCTACTAGGTCATTCGATTTTTTGCACATGCGTCAAGAAGGGACTTTTGACATAACCGGAGAGAGGGGTATTTTGTGACTATGTCAGTACTGATCCAAATGAATCAAAATTGGGTCGTCTAACGTGTTCCCGATTTCTAGAGAAAGTAACTATTTTGAGCCCCCATATTAAGAGTTTAAAAAAAACGCATAAGTTTGTGAAAAGTATTGAGTATCGCCGGGGTAACAAACGTGAAGGGGTTGTCAAATGTCCCACTTCCACACTTTAGTCACGTTTTCTGTGATTCAGGGGGTCATTAATTTGAATATTTTGGAACAGCCACGTATAGGGTGGGTAAAAAAGAATTGCTTAGTCATACACGTCCATTGTGGACTTTTTTCATGATAATTGCAGCTCCATCTGGTCCGGGTCATATATTTCAGACCTAGACCACTGTAAGATTCCAGACACATATACCACGTAAGTTGTTGCTTGCCTGTAAATTTTGTTTAATTTACACAAAATAAAGACTTTCTATACTTACTGGTAAAAAAATACGACTTGAAAGACGTTGACACTTTCGTTGCTATGGTATTTATGTGGCGAGTTTATATCAACCCCATGTTGATTTCATTAGTGGAATAGGGCAATACTCTTTTACACAGGTTCATTTAATTAAAGAAATGTGTATCCGTGCTCTGGAACACAGTCACTCACTTGGAATTTATTGCTGCTTTTGTAGTTGCCATTATATTTTTTCTGACACTTTTAACGAGTCCGTATTGAAACCCTTGGATACTGTATATAACAAATAATTACTGGGTCGGAAAACAATAAAACTAAATTGAAGACAATTCTTCGCGGACCCTGAGAGATTTTCAATGCGCATGCAGAAAATACGTGTTTATTTACTAGTACATGTAGTTTAGAAAATACGAGGACATGTGAGTTAAATTAAACATGCTTTTGTAAATTGTCCATTATCCCAGTGTATTCAAAGTATCGCGTATCTGTGACGTATATAACCCAGTCTGTCCTCCATCTTCGTGTCATCAGGAAAACATTGGCTATGGAAACTTTATCCCGGGATCATAGTACCACAGTCCACTCCGAGCTCATGAGTTGACTACATCTGAGAGATTGCTGCAGTCTCGTGCAGTTATTACAAACAGCGCTCGTCTATATACGTTTTCACTGCTCTGCAACAATGTCTGCACACTCAGCTGGTCCAATGAACTCTACTTTATTTCCATATTCAAAGATACAATGAATTGTTCTCCTTTTGTCCCCCCCCCCTTCATAAATCACACCGTTGTCCAATTAACGGAATCGGTTTCTCAGTCAGTCAAGCTTGGGGAAAATCAATCCGCCATTCGATCGTCTGAGTTACTGAACCGAGCTGTGTGGACTCCTCCCAGCTAGCTGATTAAAAATTAACACGATCCCATTAGCCTCCGCGATTTGCTGGTCAAAACAACATGGCGACTACAACACCGAGCAGGTACATATAATTGTGTGTTTTATCCGCGGTGATTTTGACAAATACATATTTGGGTTTGATCAGAGCTCCTTCATCTGTTTTGTTTGTTCTATTTGGGGGTCAATCTGACCGCTAGAGGGCGTTGATTTTAACTAACCAATGAAATTACAGTAAACTATCAACATCAATAGCTGCAAATTACTACTAGTTTTACGCTATGTTGACCCACAAATCGCTGTCAAATTCATATTGATTGCAACTTTATGGTTGGGATTTTGAGCCCAGAAGATGGTTTTGGTGCTCTACCATGTGCTAGCAGCTGCATTTTTCTATTACAGGGACCGACGGAAATTTGTGAAGAGGTTATCGAGTGACGGTCGCAAAAGTGTCGACGACAAGACAGCGGAGATGAGCGATCGAAGACGACAAGAAACGTTTGAGGTGAGTATCTTCCGTCTCTTCTTTTTCCAATATTGATGCATAATTATTCAACCGTGAACATCCAGAATAGAAATGTAATGCCTCCTTCTGGCGGTGTTTGGATGTTTGTAGTACAAATACTAAAACACCTCGCTATCACAGCACCCCCTTCTTTTAAACGCATTCGTCCTCTTTTCTGCTCTCTTGAATTGTGAGAAGTGCTATTGACTTTGAAATCATTCACCAGACACGATAATTGGTGTTATGGGTGACCGAGTTGCAAAATCAAAGAGCGCATCGTTATCATGATTGTTGTGACACTGATCATGCATAATCAGTCGTCCTACTTTGTTGTTCCATCTTTTTTTTAAAGTCTGTCTGCCGTCTAGTCTTGATCGATATTTGCAATTCGATATTGACTTCAAATGTGACATGTTTTGTTGATGTTATAAACCAGGCTGCTTGGGGTACAATGATAACAATGTATTCCTGCATTTACTAATTTAAATGACAACACATAGCATCGACACGTCAGTTAATGAATTAAAATGCCTTTAGGCAAAATCACAACTGGGCACTGGACTATTAAATTTGAAACACTCTACTAGTTCTATAGTTCTAGGCACAGCAGCAAAAATAGATTACCTCTGTGGTGTCAGTTAAACATAATAAATCAGAGTGAGACTACATTTTTATCTAATACTTTCAGTTAGTTTTACATTAGCAAAGACATATGTATTACCCCTTTTCAACTATATGTGTTGTGAGCTTAAAATAATTCCTTGAGTTTGTTCAATGGCTCTAGCCAGCAAAAAATTGTGTGTATTACCGGTAAATGTTCGTCTCAAGTCAGCTCAAGCCGAGCCTGGCTCCAATCGTGGGGTTGAGCTGGGCCTGACATTGCTTGACTGTGTAAAATCATCGGGCCAAAATCACGCCCTCCACTGCCTTCTTAAAATAATGTTCTATTCCAATCACAGCATCTCAGGATTTGATTTTAATTTCTGTGTGGAAACTGTAGATGAATGAAGTGCAGCACCCGTGATCATGAAAATGAGTGTTGTTCGTCAGTGGCAATTGTCACAAATCGTTTGCTGCATTTTTACTTGTCGCGAAATGTCACCCTAGCATATGTATTGTGTCTTGTACAGAAACAGGCCATGTTGTTCTCACATAAAATTTTTGTGACAGACTGTGCTGTTCACGCAATACAAAAAATTTTCATTACTGCATTTTCTGCTGATGTCAAACTAATGAGAGAAAACTTTGTGGGATTATACAGTATTTATTTATGCTTATCCCTCCTGTCCATTAAATTGTGATTAATTATACATACCAATCTTGACCATATTACCGCCCATGTCCGGTCAAGCACCCACTCCCTTTTTTGCACAATTTTTATATTCATGGTCACATTCACCGAGGTACCTACCCATTACTGTTCTGTGATTATACTGTTGTTATTTCTCTGAAGTTATTGTTAACAGATCACAATTCAACATTAATTTTCCCCCAAAATGTCATCAATAAATACCGGTAATCATAATTCTCAGATAATTGCATTGGTACATCACAGCATTCTCATTGGTTAATAATGGCATATTTGACCTAACAGGTCAAAGCACGTTGTTGCATCGAGAATTTGCACATGATCAAAACCATTCAATAAAGAATTGAATTACGACGCAAATTGTTTCATTGAACAATATTTTAAGTAATATACTTCCGAACATGTAGTGAGACAATTTTCTGAGTAAGGTAAATTTGAAATTATAATATCATACGATTCATCGTAAGTTATTGAATACGACAAAGAGATCTTCAAAAAAAGTTTGCTCAGCTGGAAATAATTCAATGACTTTAATAACGCTTTTTATTTTGCAAAAAAAAAAAAGTGCTTTACTTGATCTGTGTCATGCTTTTCTCATTCCAAAAAATAATTGAAAATAATGAATCAGCTGGGAGTCCTGAAGTAGGATATTACATTCATGACTTGTTTACATTGCCCGTTATGCCAGCAGACATGAATCCCTTGTTATTAATAAGCTACAGTTAACAACACCCTCAAGTACTTCATTGGTTTTGCAATTTTGATGTTGCACTGTCAAAAGTCTATCATCACATTTGAACTTTAGTCAGGTTGTATATGGTGCACGATGATAAAAGGTAAAATGTAATGATGTGTGGGGTCAATAAATAAAGCTTCTAATATTAAGTGGGGCGCTATAGGTATAAATCATTCATCACTGAGATTTAACCTGATAAGCATAAATACCTGCCGTGTGAGTTTTCAGTTTACCAACAACAGCTATTTAGTTAATTAACAAGATTGTGGGACACAAAAATATACAAAGTCATCAATAATTTTTTTTTAATCTTGTAGTAATATAGTTACCGGTATGCTAAATCAAGAACTTTATACAGGTTTCAGGAAGGCGTGAATTTGTTTTATGGGCATTTGTAAATATTTATAAAACATTTTTTCCAAAAAATGTTTATGCTTTATTCAAATCCAAAGAAGAGGCTTTTATTGGCTGGAGAAACCTTTTGGTAATGCCTATTACCCATGAGTCTTTGCAGGTTTTTTTCAATTATTGACCGAGTTTCTGCCATGAATGCAAAAAAATGGTCTGTTCAGGTCATCACTTTTCAGTAAAATAAAGTGGGCAAACCAGGATATGTAAGAATTGTGATTAGATCTTCATGATTAAAATTGTACTAATTATACAGTAACAGAATTAAATCCATGAGTATATTGATCACATTCCTGTCATCTCAGATCACACTTTTTTTTCCTCACTTTCACTGAAATGTGTACATGTATTAATACCTGTGACTTTATAAATTTTGATAAAGAAATTATTTGCTTCTCAAAGCTATTGAACATTTTTTCAATTCAGCATGATTTGGCTGTCTTGTGTAGAGGAATGCAATATCACTGATGTGTTGTAACATATTTTTAATATACATTTATTACGCAAAGTAATATATATTACCAGGCACATACAATTATTTTGAGATATAGTGTTATATTACATCGTCAATCAATATCTGCACACTCATGTCTGTATTTCTGAGTAGAACCTATAACTAAAAAATGTAATGCATTATAACTTGCAGTCTCAATTCTTTGCACATAGCCAATAGACCTTTAATGGAACTGACAAATTGTCAGGATTCAGAATTTAATTAGAGGTTGACCACTCAAATCTAATTATAAAGGATTTAATTAGTTTAGTGGTCTCGGTAAATTTGTATTCTTTCCTTTCTGGGTTGACACTTGGTAATGCTAGAGAGTGTGTGAGTGTATTATGCTCATTTACTCAGTCTGTTGAATATTTATTGAGAATTGTTAAATTGAAACGACAGTGTCTGATTATTCACCAGTGATGAAATCCCATTCCAATACATATTTTTAGTAATATGTATATACTGTTAATGGTATTTTGCTGATTGAAATGTTTTTGCAGTTGTTGTTTTGCCATTCTAATACAACTTGAATGCTAAACTGTCACTTGGATCGTGTTGATGGATATACCACAGGCAGAAACAGTACTTGTTTATAAACTTATCAAGTCATATTTGCTTAAAGCGGTAGGGTTGTTCCCTGCGCGCAAGCGCAGGAATTGTGTCCCAAACGACGATAACAACACACGCTAAAAATGCAAAGGCTCATGGGTAAATGCTTGTTTGCAAACAATGACACACTATGGCCATCTGACGCATGCGCAGGTGACGACTCCCCCGTTTTAACTGTAATATTGAATGACGTACCAAAAGCATGCCAACTTTCATGACTCTTTGGCTCTGTGTCAAAATAACTGAACTTGCCAATCTCCCTTTCTCCCAGCTAATCACCAAATCTGGGTTATAACTTACTCAGGTAATGTTGTCAATTAATGTTGTAAGGTTTCAATAGTACCAAGTTCAGAAGCAGATTTTATGTGTATTTATACCTAACCCAGAAACTTTTTCAGCTCTTCATAGAAAGAACATGTTGCAGCACTTCTTTGATTCTTATCAGTTTCTTTAGTTTATTCTGTTCACTTGTTTGTTCAAAACCCAAGTCACAAAGTTTTTATTGTATACTTTTGAAAAAAATTTCTTATTCCTAGTTGAGCTGTCAATCTGTCACAATATTTCTTCACTCTGCCAAATTGTTATCAGAATGTGTACCTCTTTGTTGAGCTAGAAATGTTTGCCCCTCAGACAATAGAGGACATAATTTTTGTCCCCACAGCATTTACATGGTTGGGCCCAGTCTTATCTGAACTCAACCCTGAGATTTATCAAAACCAAATTCTAGTCGAGCTGGCTCAAGTCAAATGTGTTGACACAGGAATTTTTGTTGGCTCCAGTCGTTTGGCTCAAATATAATGTTGTCATTGAAATGAGGTAAATGTGAACAGTGCAGCTTGTTGTTCGATGTGTAACTATGCATATATGTACATGTGTAGTACTCTTTGCCATTTCATTGTTCCATGACTTAGCAAACAGTGTTGCTAGTTCTGGTATTGCATTTATCTGCGATACCGTGTACATGTAACATCATCACATGTATGCAAGTGCAAATAATGTGAGACCCAGGAATCACAACATGCTGGGTAATTTATGGTAGACATCTCATGCCCGAATTAGGCTAACTAAAAAATCTATGCCTGGAATGTGCACAGCTTGCAAGCTGACTGCCTTATATTGCTAGGTAGATATATATGTGTGTCAGCATCTCAAGTCATTCCCTATGTTGCATCTTGGCATATAAATTTCATTCAGGGTTATATTACTTATTGATCACATTTGCTCAGAATCTCAGATGTACATTCAGGTGCTGAAATTTAAAATATATGTAAGTCACCTGTCTGTCAAAAAAGATTTGTGTGTACTTGTGTTCTGTCCCAATTGTTGAACTGGCAGTTGTAATCAAAATGTGCAAAAATTTCATTCAATGTTTTTGGGTTTATTATATCATGGTAAAATTGCATACATACATGTATACAGTTGAAAACTGTAAAGGTTAAATC